TGACCACAATATGTATATTTAACCACTTCTGTGTCAGAAGGCCTAATAACACGTTATGTTGCAATTTGCTGCTGTAACTTCTAAAAGTTGATCCAGAAGAAAAAAAAGAAAAAGACAAGGTTCCTTTTTTTCTTTTTTTTTTTTTTGTTCTGAGGGTGTCGAGACGCAAATGCGCGTCGAAAATGATTTCTACTGATGTGCCACACAGTGTATAACTGTCTCTTCTGCCTTCTCTTGTGATATTATAGACCAGTGATGGCGAACCTTGGCCCTCCAGCTGTTTTGGAACTACAAGTCCCATGAGGCATTGCAAGGCTCTCACAGCCACAGACATAACTCCCAGAGGCAGATGCATCTTGGGATTTGTAGTTTTGGCACAGCTGGAGTGCCAAGGTTCGCCACCACTGTTATAGACTTTATACTGGCACCAAACTGGATTTGTGAGGTCGTTCTTCCCGGTGCGTGCTGTCTGTTGCCGGTGCCCTTTACCTGGTGATGTGTTCGTTGGAAGCAAGTGTTCCTGCATTTGAAGTGCGTTCCCAGGGATGCTCTGCGTCATAAGTGCATTCTGCGGGCGGCTCTGCATCTGAAGTGCGTTCCCAGGGATGCTCTGCGTCATAAGTGCATTCTGCGGGCGGCTCTGCATTTCAAGTGCATTTGCCAGGCGGCTCTGCATTTCAATTGCATTAGCCGGGCGGCTCTGCATTTCAATTGCATTAGCCGGGCGGCTCTGCATTTCAATTGCATTAGCCGGGCGGCTCTGCATTTGAAGTGCATTGCCCCGGGCGGCTCTGCATTTGAAGTGCATTGGCCGGGCGGCTCTGCATTTGAAGTGCATTGCCCCCGGGGCGGCTCTGCATTTGAAGTGCATTGCCCCCGGGGCGGCTCTGCATTTGAAGTGCATTGCCCCCGGGGCGGCTCTGCATTTGAAGTGCATTGCCCCCGGGGCGGCTCTGCATTTGAAGTGCATTGCCCCCGGGCCGCTCTTCGATCTTGGACTGTATCCTAACAAGTGACCTCAAATAACGGTGAAGCTGTCCAGATTCCGTTTTGGTTCTCTAATACCATTGTGCAGCCCAGGAGTGGCAAAAGGGAATGTACTTCCGAGAGGTCTGTTCAAACAGTGTTTTATAGGAGGAGGACTGACAAAATGTTGACCGAATATGCGCAGTTGATTAATTTGCACATCGGTGAGTGTATTTCAAACAATGTAGGTATTTGCAGTGAATAACAGTGTTGGGCATTTTACAGAACAGTTGTTTTCTTGGTCACCTCTTGTTGCCAGCTTCAATCACCGCTTACATAAACTGACCTCTACTCTTAGCGAGGCCACCTTGCTGCACCAGCTTGGCTTTAAGTCTGTCTTGCCAAATGCACACTATATACAGTACCCATGTGCTGCACTGGGTCTTAAGCATAAACCTCCTCACCGTTAGTGATTGCATGGTAGCAAGCGGTCTAAGCTGCCTGCACAGGCTTTTGTATTAAGGAACCACTAATGTTGCATGATACAGTGACAACAAGCACACTAGCTGCATTGTTCCCCCGGTTTTATTAGGATCCGGTTTCTAATGCAGCAGAAGCATTGCGAGCACCTTTAGGAGATCAGGATCAAGAGTGAAGTGATCAGTTTGCTTTAAACAGTAAAATCCGTTCCCATATATAGCAGGGCTGGACAAATCCCAGGTAGCCAATGTTCCTTAAAAATTGCAGCTGCCCCCTCACTATTGAGGTTTGCTCTACTTGTTGTTGGTGAAGCTGGCTCCTAAAATGGAATCCTGCTGGTCCCTGGATTTCAAATTCATTTTAGTTTATTATGCTTTGCTTACACCTATGTGGCTGTTCATGCTTTGACTTGCATTGCATTAGGGTAGCCCACTTGGTTTGAATTGGATCCTCAACACAATAATGCAGTATTACAGTATAATGGCAGGAGCTGGGGGCACATGGATTACTTCATATGGTATAATGGCAGGAGCTGGGGGCACATGCATTACTTCATATGGTATAATGGCAGGAGCATTACTTCATACGGTATAATGGCAGGAGCATTACTTCATACGGTATAATACAGGGATGGGCAACCTCGGCACTCCAGCTGTTGTTAAAGGAGAACTATGGGGTAAGTGTTTTTCCCCATAGTTCTCCTAAGGGTCACGGGAGGACACAAACTAGCGTCGACCTGTGACCTAAAGCTCAGTATATAGCGAGCTATTGCTCACTATATACTGAGATCGCCGCAGCTGGGACGGATCCCAACAATGCTGTCGAGATCCATCCAGCTGGCTGATTGACAGCTGGCTCTGCCTATCTAGAGTCCGTTTCTACACTCAGAGCTGAGGGAGCTGTAGCTCGCGGTATACTGAGACCGCCGCACCCGGGACGGATGCCGACATTACTGAGATCCACCCAGCTGCGTGAGTGACAGCTGGTTCTGCCTATCTAGAGGCAGAGACAGCTGTACCACCCCCCCTGTCCGTTTCTCCACTCAGCGCGGGGGGGGGATCTCTGCAGTGAGCGAGCGACGGTATGTGTTCGCTCACTTCCCGATCTATTGAGCCGACCTTTTTCATAGTCACACGTCGGCTCGAACTATGAGGCTGATTTGATTGTCACTCACCTCATAGTTCTCCTTTTAAGCTACAGGTCCCATGAGGCATTGCAAGACTGACGGCTGCAGACGTGACTCCCAGAGGCATAAAGGGATTTGTCATTTCACCATAGCTGGAGTACCAAGGTTGCCTACCCCCTGGTATAATGTATGTGCCTTGCAGTGCAGTTCAGAATGAATGGCCGCTGATTGAGACATGGGTTTTAACAAAAATCCTAAAAGGAAGATGAAACCCTGCCAACTTTGCTAATGAAGTTGTGAGTTTAAATTGCATTTGGCATGGAGGTCAGCTGACTGATAACCTATCATTTGTTCAAGTTCTATATACAAGGAAAGGAGGATGTGCTATCCACAGCAACCAATCATAATTGTCTATTGACCCATTTAGGAGAATGCAATAGTCAGATTTCTTGGTGTACACTACAGAGGTCTGCTGGGTCTCCCAGGGAATAACATCAATCTGATTCCATCTTTTCCTCAAGTCTTTTGTATAGAAGGTCCCTGTGTGTCTTTTTAAAGGTACAACTCGTTTTTAAATCTGGATCAATGATTCTCCGTTGCAGTCCAGCAGTAGTATTGGCAGTACTGAAAAGTATTTGCTTCAAATTGAAGAGGGTACATAGAAACCAGTTCCAATATCTGTTCTTTGGTAGTCTGTAGATTATTTTTAGAAATCATTAGTGGCATGTAGCCTTCAAGTGTTCATTTCCTTTACTATCATGTACTGTTTTTCTGCATAAGCTTTATTTAAAACTTTGTTTAGGCCAGAAATAAAAAGAAATCAAATATGGACCCTTTTGATGTATGTTAGAATGGAGGGGAAATTAAAATGTGGCTCTGTTATTTGTTCTCATAATGAGAAGTTTTGTATTTGTTTATTTGCATTGTTCCTGTCAATAACACGGTACATACTTCAGGAAGTCTCGCTAGAAGATGAAGCCTGTTGAACCCAGCAGGGGACCCAGTACACATGGCACTTGGTCCATTCAGATCTGGGCAGGGGTTGCTGAGCAACACTGTTGTATAGCTGTCCCACCCCCCTTCACAAAGGGAGATGGCAGTTCTGACAGACACACAGAGCCTGCACAACCAACGCCCCCCTCCCCCCCTGAAAGCTGCCAGAAATAAGAGGGGCAGGTGACTAAAGTGCTGGCTGTAACTTTCCCACGTAGGAACATTAAAGGCTCCCCCATTGGAACGGTAAAAGGAGAATTATGAGACGAGTAACTCACTCAGCCTCATAATCTGAGCCGACCTGTGACAATTAAACAATGACAATGTCACAGGTCGGCTCAATAGATCGGGAAGTGAGCGCACACATAACGTCGCTCGCTCACTTCTCGATCTATCCCTGCAGAGAGCCGTGACTCACTCACTAGTTCTCCTTTTTAAAGTCTGCAACTCGATGCCACAAGCAGTGGTATCAGCTGAGACTATTGAATCATTCAAAAAGCATTTAGATACCTTCCTCAGAGACCGCAACATACAGGGGTACAGGTACACTTAAAAACAAGGACACACAGGGACTTGTGCACACATATACACAATCACAAACGGACACACAATAGGTTGAACTTGATGGACCCGTGTCTTTTATTCAACCTCAAATATTATGTAACATCCGTAAATTGGGCTTCAGCCTGGGGGTGGAGCGACAGCCATCATTGACAAATAAAAATGACATTGTATTTGAAACCCCATCGGTGAGAACGAGCTTGTAAGAGTCTATTTACACGTGTGCTTGCCTGTAGGCTAACCATTTGTGCTCCTGGAAATAATAAAACTCTCTATTCAGATTGCAAAAAAAAAAAAGCTACAACTTTTCTGCTGTAATATTGTTACAGGGGCCCTGGGTGGTGTGTATGTCATGAAGTAGGATTTTTGTACTTTGTGTCATCCAGTGCAGCCCTGCACTATGGATTTTGAATTTTGTAAGCACTCGTTGGTCAGCACGGTCACCTCACCACGCTGACCAATGAGAAGCGCTTCTTAGCACGGTTAAATACAGTTCTGGTTAAAATGATTTTTTTTGTATCAGGACAAGTAGATTGGGCCCCTGCTTTAGTCCTTGGACAAGTACTATTTTTTTTTTTTTTTTATTTCTACACCCCTTGCTCTGTGTGTTGTAAAGTAGTCACCGCTCCAAACTCACTCCCGGGATGGACTACAATCTCAATACAAATTAGTAATCTAAACATGAGATTGTAGCCCATCCCGGGAGCGAGCTTGCAGCGGTGACTACTTTACAACACACACGGGGACCATGTGGAATAAAAGTAGTCCCCCTCCAGAAGGAAGGACAGCGTCGGCACCAATTCAGAGATGATTGGAGGATCTACAGCCGCGTGATACACAAATAAGAGACATTGTTGTTAATAGTTAAGGTACCTGAATGTATTTTTAAGACTTTGTCTGAGTTTAGTGTCCCTTGAATGCTAAACAATTCCGTTCATCTATTTGCTTTTCTTGTCTACTATGGCCCCTGTTCCCTTGCTCTCTTCTGCCTGTTTGTTCCCCCTTCTCATAGCCTATGATTCTCGAGAAGCTTCTTCACCAACCTCCTCCTCAATGTACTTGTGCCTGCTCAGAACCCTTTCATAAAGATGGAGACTCCGAGGGTTAATTAAAACAATTACCTTGGATCTCTGTTTTCTTCTCCTTCCTGAAGGCACCGGTGCCAATGAGCCTCACAGCAAAACAAGGTGCTCGAAATCCCGTGTATCCTGGCACCAGTAAGACACATTTATAGCTGAAGTCCAGTTTGCAGAATTCTATTTTAACATCTGAGGAGGAAAAAAAAAAATATCACATTACCAGGGCTTGTGACGAGAGGACAGCGGAGCCCGATGAGCATCTTCCCGGCCGGCCGGGAGTCTCTAGACGCCCGATCGCTTGTATTACCAGCAGCTGTCACTGCGGTTGCCGGTCCCAAGATCCGATGTGGCCGGGACCGGCACGGCTCTGTGACAGCTCAAAGGGAGATCAGTATATACAATCTCCTCTCAGTCCCTGAATGCAGGAAGTGATGTATATTACATCACTTCCTGCATTCAGGCTCACTTTCCAGCTACAGAAGCTGATAAAGCAGATCTCTGCTTCATCAGCTTCTCTGGGGGTCCCAAGGTGACATCAGGGGTCCTGGCATTAGAGACCCCTGATGTCTTCATACAGAGGACCTGTCATGTAAATCGGCTATCACATAGGGGCCTTCTTAGCCCCCCCCCCCCCCCCCCCCCCCCCATGTGATAGCAATAAAGTTGTGTAAAAAAATTAAACATTAAAAAAAAAATGTTTAAGTCCCCCGCCCCCCACATATACATGCAGATATGCATGGGGTGCGCCTACGTGCGATAAAGATTGCGCCAATTGTGCCGCACATGTTACATATAACCGCGAACGTCGGAGCGTGAGCAATCATTTTAGATCCATTAATTACTGATAAGTGGTAAAAGCATTTTAAGCGTCGCCTATGGACAATTTTCAGTGTGGTCGTATTTTGTGGCCGCACGCAATTTTAAGGCTTGACATGTTTGGTGTCTATTTACCCGACATGACCCCGACTTTTATGTTTTACCAAAAATATGGGTGAAAATAGATGTTTTATAACATAACGTAGGGAAACTTTTTTTTTCTTATTTTATATACCTCCAAAAGAAAGCTCTATCTGTCCCCAAATGTTTTTAACATAAATTGCAAGGCTATGGTCCAGTCATGCTGACTGGTGACATTTTTGACTGACTGGTGAGACACCCTAAAAGTTTTCAAGCCCTGTACATTACCATACTTGATCTTTTTCATCCTGCTCTGCACTGGCTGGTGGATGGAGCCAAGTGCTCTATCCAGTAAAAGCCTCTGCAACAGCACTTGGCATTTCACAGATATCGTGCCTATCTAAACTAACAGATTTGCCTGTGAATAGGAGAAGACAGTAAACCAGATGCTGTGTTTTGGGTGTGTTGGCAGTCCACGTCACACGGTACAGCATAAGGCACTAGTATAGGGGTAGGCAAACTCCAGCTGTGGTGCAACTAACCCATTAGTTAAATCCCATTAGGCATTGCATGACTCTTCGACAGCCATGGGCATGACTACCAGAGGCACATGCATGATGGGATTTGGAGTTTCATCACAGCTGGAGTTTGCCTACTCATGCACTTGTCTTGGCTCCCCTTCCATACTCCTTGCTTCTATTTAAGTAATAATCTAATACAGTAACCGCTATCACCTAACACAGTATGAAACAAAGCAAGTCAGTTGTACTCTACTGAGAGCAACATACAATACATTGCCAGCTGCAGAGGAGTTCCAGAATCTCATCATTCACTGAGCACAGGGAGGTGGGCTTTCTGCAGATAACCCTTTCTAATCAAAATGAAGTCCCCAGTTAGACCTACCAGTAATGGTCTTTCCATAAGTCTTCCTGGACAACTCCCTGAGAGATGATTGGCTCCTCCTTCTACAAGAAAACCCATACGAAAAGTTATTAAAAGCCCCTTATCCTTTAGTAATATAAAGTAGCCTTCCACCACCAAGGTGCAAGAGGAAAAATAGAAGCCAGGTGGCAAATACAAATATACCTACACATTCGACATAGTACCCCACAAACGTTTATTCTATAAACTTAGGTCTAGATAAAATTCTATGTACATGGGTGGAAAATTTGGCTGCAAGAAAGGACCCGGGGGGTAGTGATAAATGGGTCGTTCTCTAATTGGGCAAGGGTTAGGAGTGGGGTTCCCCAGGGTTCAATCCTGGGACTGATCCGGTTCATCTTATTCATCCACGACATAGAGATTGGACTAAATAGCTCAATTTCGTTTTTTGCGGATGATACTAAACTGCAGTAAATTCCAAACAGGAGATATTCGCACTACAACAGGACCTAAGCAAAATTGAGGCTTGGGCTACAAGATGGCATAGCGATTTAATGGTGACAAATGTAAGGTTATACACATGCGGGTAAAGAACATGTGCGCAAATATACTTGGGGGGTGTGATCAGACGATCGCTCCAGTGTTTGTGCTGCACACGGAGGATCGGTAAATATCAATGATATTTACTGATCCTCCGCTCGGCCACACACACAGCCGCTGTCATCCTGAAACTGTCAGGAGTACAGCGGCTTTCGATCACGGCAGGCTGGGAGGAGAGCGGAGCCGCTGTCCTCCTGTCAGTTTCAGGACGGCAGCGGTTCCTCCGCCGTCCATTTTTTTTTTTCAGATCCCCGCTGCCTCAGCCCATACAAGCAGGGGAGAGCAGCGGGGATGCGGGCCGCGGGCCACTGTATGTTACTGATCTACTCCAGGTGGAAAATGGTAATGCTGTCCTGGAAAGACCATAATTGGTAGGTCTAACTGGGGATTTCCCCAATCATCTTCCGTGACAGCTACGCAATTGAGCTTCATATAATATGACAGGACTGCTGCTTGCAGCATCTTTCTGCTGTGTGCTTGGTTCTGCCCCAACAAAAGCTCCATGTCTGTGGAAGGTATGACTGTTAGACTGCACAGCTGCTCTGTAGATTCTACAGCTCGCTCTGCCCAAAAGGTTTCCAGGACTGGGTGGAATACGATGTGAAAAAAATGGGGGAGTCGCACTTTTTGTTACACCAAGATAACTGTCCCCATTATCAAGCAAGGGATTGTACTTTGAGGCCTTAGATTGTATAGTAGAGGGATGAAGACCCTTTTTTCAGTCCGTTGAAGGTAATCAGCAGATGACTGGATCTTTCAGATTCCTTAGTGGCATTCATATATTGTAAAAAAAATATATATTTTAACATCCAGCCTGTGGTAGTTAAGATTTTTGGGGTTCTCACAAAAGGTTGATAACATCATGTCATGGGATCTGTTAAAGTCTGACGTAACCTGAGCTAAGTATATTGGATCCAGTCTTACGATTGCTCTATCCGGGAGGATTATAAGGTAAAGGTTCCCTAATTAAAAGTTAAATTCTCAAGTGAGCACTCTAGCGAGGGCTCAAGGAGTTCCTGTGTTAGACCCCCTAGGACAAGTGTCAGATCCCATTGAAGAAAAGGTTTGCTTACCAAGGGAGTACAGTGCTCTGTCTCCTAGGAAGTGCTTCATTAATTTGTTTTTTGCGAGTGGTATCTCCAAAAACTCTTCACAGAAAGTCCTTCATCTACTCCTCACTGAGGGAATTTCTTAAGGAGAACGTCTCAATAAGAGGGATGGTCTACAGAGGGTCTATTGACATTGAGAGCTGTGCTAAAAACTATGCCCTCCTTGGCAACTTGGGAGGCTGTCAGTATTACTTTACCATTCCAAAGTGAATTTTGTTTTACTGCTAATGTAAGGATTGAGAGAGGATGCAACACATAAGCCAGCTCCAGGGCCTATTCCTGGGCCAGTGCATCCACCCCCCCAGGAATCACTTGTCCTGGCTGAGGGAAAAGTAGCCTGTGGGCATCCTCCTCTTTCTACTATCCAATTGTAAACTTGATTTATTAAAGTCGGTCTATGTTATTCTTCATGACCTCTGCTTCTTCCTGGTGCCTGGGCCTGTTGGTTACAAAACACCTGTCTGGGGGTAGACTTTTGATTACAGCAGGTAACCTTTTTTTTAATGATCTATAGAATAAAATATCTCCCTCCGATCTCATTGCAGGTCCCAGGCCCGCACGGAAGACAGATAGGGTTGCCACCTGTCAAGGATTCACTCAGACAGTCCGGGTTTTGAATGCTGTGTTCGGGTTTCATGGCAGCAGAAACCCCGACACAAGATGTCAGGCAGACAGGGGCAACCAAAATTAAGATAGGGGCTACTGGCCCCCCACTGAAAATAGTCTCAACTGTGCTATTTACATATGAATGGGCGGCGCTATTTACATATGAGTAAGTCACGACTTATTCTCCTAAAAAAAATGTCCTCACGTCACCGGAGTGTTTAGGTTTCGCTGGAAGAAAAGGTGGCAACCCTAAGGCCAGAGGATCACGGGATAGCGGCACACTCTCACGCACCATACAAGCGATCGGGCGGCTCTATAGCCACCTGAATGTTTGTATGTAACAGCCGGTCGCTGGCTTTTTAAAATGTTTAAATTGTCTTGCTCAGGCCAAGCTGTTTATTTATAGCAAACTGCTGTGAAGAGCTTCCTGTCACATGATCCATCCTTAGCTTAAGTCACATGATCCTTGTCAAGGCACCTACCATGTGCTACAATAGTCAAACTCTGCTTTTTTTAATATATATATTTATTATATAT